AATATTGTATAATCTGTGTAGTACTGTTTACTGACCAAAATTGCTATCAGTTGTGGTAAACTTCCACGTGTTCTTGTGAACAATTATCTCGATGGAGGCAAAAATCAATCTAACAGTGGTACCAGAAGTGGCGCATCGACCTAAGTTTTTTTATTTATTTTTTATTGCTTGGATGTGTGGACGAGCTCACAGCCCACCTGGTGTTAAGTGGTTACTGGAGCCCATAGACAAGTCCACGAAGAGCAAAGCCGTGCTATTTAAAAGGGGTGGCCCTTTCGATACCAATTTGAGTATCCCACAGCGTGCTGGACGCAGTATCGCCTCTATCAAACCAATACCCTGGGCCGCTCAGCTCCAGCCATAAGCTCAAAAATCTAGGGGTCACTCTCAAGGAATGACATACTGTCCTCTTATAAAAAACAGTCCGCGACCGAACTGCTTTCTTACTCGGAAAACTTTATCCCATATCTGGAAGCGAAGTAAATTGTCCTTTCGCAATAAGGTGGCACTCTACATAACTGACTTATGTAAGTCATGAATTATGTAAGTGTAGTGTTCGCTTAGGCGGGCCACACACACATATATACCTTTTCTTTATTCTGGCGGGGGACCGAACCTCATATGAGGTGTCGGCACCTAGAGGACGCCCGGAGTATCTGGGACTTGACGGTCTGCAGGTGTTAAGAGCAAACTGTTCAAGGATATTTTAGCGCCCGAACCACCAAACGACTTTCATTGCACCTTACGCCCAATCTCCGCCCGGGTTCTTAAACTGAGCCCCGTGAGCTCACCTACATATTCGGTGAAGTTAGCATAACCAATTAGCTAGCAATAGTTTGGCTCAGAATAAAATTCAGAATGAAAGCAAAGAATTGTATTTTAACGTAACGGCTGCTCCATTCTTAAACTAGAGTGCATGACTGCTTTGCCGCAGCAATCACGAGGACAGTGGTAGCGACCCGTGCGAGCTTAGAACACCGTGCCGTCTGCTGTAATAGAACCACATATATTTTTTCAGGATAATTTGTTGCATATTTATTGACCTTTAAAAAAAGTACTGTTTTTCGTTGATGAGTGATAAAGGTCAAACCAACAAACACTTTCTCCATCACAATAGTTTTACATTTACTGTGCTGTGAGTGCGCACAGGCACCTCGTGGCGCGGTTTTTTTTTTTTTTTTTGTGATTGAAAGTTTACTGGTGGCCCGAAGGCCTTTCCAGTTTCACCAGGACAGGTGGGCGAGCAAAGGCTCAGCCAAGAGGGGTGGGATTTGCTAACAACTGCCCGAGCGCCTCCGAAGGAGACCTAACAACTCAAGAGCAATTGTTTCGCGAATGAATCTACTACCGGATCGGAATCGCGACCCGCTGAGAAGATCCGGCGAGAAACTCAGCGGGCTGATGCATGGGTTAGGTTGCACGTCGACCTCTTTGTCGAGTTCGACGAGTACGGTTACCGGGGTCCCTAAGCCTGCCCCTAGTATTAGAGCTGAAGGCATCTAATGCAAAGGTTATTGGATCTGATGGATCCGTAAGGACGTGTCTAGGGCGTCGACGGTGACTGGCTCCTGCATGATCAGGATTCGGGGAGTAGTCAGCGGCGGCAACGATAAGGCGATTATCATGACGCATAGCCTTATCGAAGTATCGTTCCGACGCTGACTTCATGTATTTCCGAATTGATTCGAGGCCCAGGTCGTCGTGTAGGTCAACGTTCCTCACGAACCACGGAGCCCCGACAGCTAACCTGCAAAAGCGGGATTGTAGGGATTGGAGGGTGTCTATGTGTGTGCGGGCCGCGTGAGCGAACACCACACTCGCGTAAGTCATGACGNGTGATGGAAAAGTCACTATAGCTGAAACTGGATACATAAAATTAGCGAATGATTTCTGCACTATCATTGATTCGCAAGATGCTCTCATTGAACAAATATTTCCCGATGTACACACGAATTACATAAATCTCGAGTGGCTTGCAGAAAGAGCAATGTTAGCTGCAAAAAATGTGGACGTTGACATTTTAAATCTGAAGATACAACAGTTATTGCCAGGGGACTTGGTATCATATAGATCTATTGATACAGTTTGCGATGGCACTGAAGCTGTAAATTTTCCAACAGAGTTTTTGAACTCACTGGATTTGCCAGGCATGCCACCACATAACTTACAATTGAAGGTTGGATCTCCAATTATTTTGCTTCGTAATTTGAACCCGCCACGGCTATGCAACGGTACGCGATTATTCATTAAAAAAATAATGAAAAAAGTTATCGAAGGCACCATTTTAAATGGCAAGTTTCGAGGTGAAAATATATTGATACCACGAATACCTATTATACCCACAGATGTGCCAATTCAATTTAAGCGGGCTAACAAAAAATATTGTTCACGCTGCAGCATTAAGAGATTAATATTATGTAATGAATTAATTATATATATAATTATTACTTTTAATAAATTAAAACAATTAATGTTTGGTGTTTTGTTATTTTTAAACAACATTCCCTCATCGTTCCCAGCGCTCCAGGCCTTTTTCACTCATATTCCACATCCTTATACACTTCCAATAAGTTAGTATTTTAGAAATTCTCTAGAAATCTTATATATGGCAAGACACCGTTTGCCGGGTCAGCTAGTAGAAGTATAAAATACAATCATAATAGTTTACAAACTTACAATTCCAATTAATTATAGTCGAATTTCGACTACTGCGGGACCTCTAGTTACATGAAAACCATAGACTTGTGAATATTCTACAACTCTCTCATATCTTAAAACTATGCTAAGCCAAGGTTTAAATGATAATAAAGATATCTGAAAATCGGGGATAAGAAGCAGACGTACCTTTGAAATTTTAGTTAATTTGGATTTGAAGTCGTCGTGGCCTAACGGATAAGACGTCCGGTGCATTCGTGTTGAGCGATGCACCGGTGTTCGAATCCCGCAGGCGGGTACCAATTTTTCTAATGAAATACGTACTCGACAAATGTTCACGATTGATTTCCACGGCGAAGGAATAACATCGTGTAATAAAAATGAAACCCGCAAAATTATAATTTGCGTAATTACTGGTGGTAGGACCTCTTGTGAGTCCGCACGGGTAGGTACCACCACCCTGCCTATTTCTGCCGTGAAGCAGTAATGCGTTTCGGTTTGAAGGGTGGGGCAGCCGTTGTAACTATAATTGAGACCTTAGAACTTATATCTCAAGGNAATTTGCGTAATTACTGGTGGTAGGACCTCTTGTGAGTCCGCACGGGTAGGTACCACCACCCTGCCTATTTCTGCCGTGAAGCAGTAATGCGTTTCGGTTTGAAGGGTGGGGCAGCCGTTGTAACTATAATTGAGACCTTAGAACTTATATCTCAAGGTGGGTGGCGCATTTACGTTATAGATGTCTATGGGCTCCAGTAACCACTTAACACCAGGTGGGCTGTGAGCTCTTCCTCTCATCTAAGCAATAAAAAAAAAAATAAAAAAAAAAAGTTCCAACAACATAGAAAACTTAATAAAATAGTTTTTTTATATAAAATTCAGCTCATACGTATTCATTTCCAAGAATTGATTCTACGTTCAATGAATAAAATGTTGTTTTTCGCTTTAATCTGAAAACCAAACAATAAATCAATTGACTTCTTCACAATGGCTTGTATTTGCGTTCCCATTATTCATTTACAATACCTCGAAGAGACGACCCCAGAGCAGCTGCCGCGATAATTCGTCATCAGACACTGTTCGCTTTTGTTCCACTCGCTTTAAGCACAGCTTTTATCTAAGACCCCGGTGCCCTAAGAGCACTAGTCAAGGCCACTAACTACTGTTAAAACAATAAATGGATTTTTGAACCTAGACTCAGGGGATTTGTCAGATGTGTGAAAGATATCCTATTTATCAATGGCTAGTTGTCGATAGTGTGGAACTAATCTTCATCATGTTCTACACTGGAAAATGATGAATGTTTGGGGTATTGCATATACAATGGCGTAAGGTACGGCTGCGGCTGGAGTAATTTTATTTTCAATAATTGGTTTGGAGGCTCGATCGCTATGCGCACTAATATGGATATGCTGAGTACGCATTACATTTTGATAGCAATCCAGATCGGATATGTAATACTATTTGTACGTTTTGTTTAATATGTAGTGTACTGTAATAATTATAATTCTTTTGGCGCATCAATAAAAAAAAAATGAAATCAAAAATCTATATTTCGGCTGGCATAACAATCCATCTCCACAAATAACTCTATCACTTTGCTTTTACAATAGAAAACCCCGGGGCTACTCTCATCTGAAATGGTAGTAACTTGGCGATGGTCCGCTTCATATTAATTGCTCCACTTACAATTAGTTCCGATCATCGTGCTCGTCGAATCCGTCGCTTGCGACGAAGGGCACGGCGAGCGAATTAACCCAGAGACACAGCCCACTGAGTTTCTCGCGGTTTCTCAGTGGTTCGCGTTTCCGATCCGGTGGTAGATTCTGCGAAGCACGGCTCTTGCTAGAGTTCGTGTAGCAACGTCGTCAGGTTTGAGCCCCGTGAGCTCACCTACTGAATAAGGTTACGCTGAAATAGCCTCTCACGGTTATCAACATAGGTAGGGAAAAAAACCCATTTAGTTTTAAGTTTTAATAATATAATTTAAGCAAATCAAGTTTATCTAAGCGTTTAATTAGGTGTTTAACTACCGTAGGTTAATTAATACCTTCCAAAACTCATTTAAAACAACACTCTATAAGCTTCACCAAAATGAAGTCCTAAGCATTTGAGTTCTAGAAAGTTCACAACAAATATCGCTACTCTCAAAATGTTGAGGTTAATTAAAATTTCCGTAACGACGAGGTGCTAATTCCTAGGGATCGTAAAATTAAAAGGTAGGTCTGACACACATCTTAAGGCTGGTGCATCCCAACAATTTAGACATTGTGTCAAGTCAGTGTCGAGAGTTCACGGGTGGGACCTGGCTCTGTCCGCCTGACGGTCTCGCCGCCAGCCACCGCCAACCGCCATTCAGTTGTGGACGCTCCGCCAGGCAAGTTGTACGCGGTCTCAACTCATACAAGCCGAAACAATAATTGCGGTTTTGTGTTTAGACGAAACAAAACTAAAGACAACGATAGTTTTTTTACAATGCTAGTAACTTTTGAAACTCAACTTAATTGATGAATTAGATGTTGTAGTTAACAAAACACATCATAATTCGCGTTATTTTGTATTTTATCTGTGATATTTATTGACTGTGTAGTGTAAACGAACGAAACATTCGATTGTGTGGGAATTATAATAAAATGTCACGGGCTTCGGTCTTCAAAACGTTTTTCTAAATTAGAATCGTAAAAATGACGAAATACAAACTGAACAACACTATTCGTTCTTCGCCTGAAGTCACACTGACCGCTTACATTGCTGACGACGCTAAGAAACCTGACGAGAAGAAGTACGAGATCGCAGTATTGGACAGCAATCAAAACGACAGTGCCGTGAACGAAAACAACCGCAGACTCGAGTCGAAGATATGTCACGTTTGTTCTCACCCGTGTGAGTTCGCGAAGCACTCCGACCGACTAGCCGCCTCGCTGGTGAAGCAAGAGTGCGACAGGTTCGGCTTGAACGAGCTCAGAGTTGAGGGCTTAGAGAAGAACGTGTGTCTGTGCGAGAGGTACAACGGAGGTTGCAAGCTGTGCCCTCGTCCGCTGAATGCCAATTTGAATCTTACGCTGAACGGACGAGAGTCGTGCTTGGCATGTCACAAGGCGACCGATTCCTACTCTAGTGAGTATATCTTGATTTTTTTTTATTGCTTAGAAGGGTGGACGAGCTCACAGTCCACCTGGTGTTAAGTGGTTACCGGAGCCCATAGACATTCACAACGTAAATGCGCCACCAACCTTGAGATATAAGTTCTAAGGTCTCACGTATAGTTACAGCGGCTGCCCCACCCTTCAAACCGAAACGCATTACTGCTTCACGGCAGATATGGGCGGGGTGGTGGTACCCACCCGCGCGGACTCACAAGAGGTCCTACCACCAGTAATATAATGATGAAATTGATGCAAAGTAATGTTTTTTTTTTGTACAAATTAGTGTTTTTTCCTACAGTGGTAGGTTGGATCGCACAAATAAATTGTCAATTTCATGGTTTTCACTTTCGCGCCACATTAACGTTCGTATTGATTACAACACCAATAAAATTACAAAGCGAACGTAATTTTATTGGATTTGATTTAAATTTCTTTACACAAATAATAACTGAAGCTTACAACAATATAGCTTGCTTATGTATAGTCTAAGAGGAAAGGGCAAAGGAATACAATAGGGAAATAACAAGCATCAAATGTGTTGTTTCTTTATTATTTCCGATCTCTTCAGAAAAACAGCGACACTTAATACGTACCTACTAGTGGTCCCGCACTAGTCGAGATTCGACTATAATGTTAATTGACATTGTATAATATTTTTAAACATTATTATGGTTCTATTGTCAAATACTATTATATTTCTTTAATATAATCACAGATTTCGCCAAAACTTACACTGTAGATAAATAAACACAAACAATATTAACCTATTCGGATTTTGACCATAGACTTTAAACATTAACAAAAGTTTGACAATTGACAATAAACAAAGAGTATAATTATTTATATGTATGTGTGTGTCAAATACATGGTAGTGTGTGTAATGTTTTTTTATGGACTTAATGTATGTTTTATACATAATTTAAAAAAAAAATTAGCATTCTGCACTCCTCCTCTGTATTCTCTACAAGTGTGGGAAATTTCATAGTCCTCCGTCCGCGCAATTTTCGTAAAAAGGGGCACAAAGTTTTTGCTTCACGTATTAATATAAAATATAGATTTGTCTAAATATTATTCCGCTCAATTAATTTGTTATTGAGCGTGTTCTGTTCTAAGCCGAATATTATGTTTTTGTTTCCGCGTAATTAAATCACCAAGAAATTTCGAAATCCATTCTGATAGTGTTAATCATTCCGGGCAAGCACGTGGTCGCAAACCTTTAAAAAAAAAATTACAAAAAAAAATCCAGTTCTCGAACTTCACAAGTGACATTAACCTAAATTGTTCGGCACGTAGAAACAAATACTGCACAAGTTAGTAAATTAAAAAAAATAGGTTCATACAAAATCTGTGACCGCTTTAGCGTTGTCATATCAAAGTTGACTACTTTCGAAAGCATTTAGGATTGAAAAGGTCGACGGGTCGCATTTAAATGTTGATAAAATAACCACCACTACACGATTTTTTTTATTGCTTATATGGGTGGACCAGCTCACAGCCCACCTGGTTTTAAGTGGTTACTAGAGCCCATAGACATCTACAACGTAAATACGCCATCCACCTTGAGATATAAGTTCTAAGGTCTCAAGTATAGTTACAACGGCGGCCCCACCCTTCAAACCGAAACGCATTACTGCTTCACGGCAGAAATAGGCAGGGTGGTGGTACCTACCCGTGTAGACTCACAAGAGATCTTACCACCAGTGAAGATCCTACCACCAGTAACAGATAATAACCAGTAATAACTCACAGATGCTTAATAGCATACCTATCTCAGTACTCAAATAATACATAACCACTTTTGTACTAAGGTCGTACCTACCTAGCTCATGGCTCGACCGTATAATACATAATAATATTATTATGTACTAGAGGTCCCGCAGTAGTCGAAATTCGACTATAATTAATTGGAATTGTAAGTTTGTAGTGTACAATGATTATGATTGTATTTTATACTTCTATAATCACAAATTTCGCCAAGACTACACAATATAAAATATTAATAAAGACAAACAATATTTAATCTATTCTCAATTTGACAACAGACGTCAAGAACTAAAGTTTGACAATAAATAAATAGTATGCATGCGTGTGTGCGTCAAATGTATGTAGGTATGTAGTGTGTGTAATGTTTTCTTTATTGATGTAATGTATCTTTTAAGCATTATTTTAAAAAAATATTAGCATTGTGCACTTCTTCTCTACTCTACATTCTCTATAAGTGTGGAAAATTTCATACTCCTCCGTCCGCGCAATTTTCGTAAAAAGTGATACAAAGTTTTTGCTTCACGTATTAATTATTATGTATGTGTCAAACCACTGTGATTGCAGATCTTGTAAAACCCGTGTATCGGTGACGTCAAATTGTCTTCATGAGAACTAAATGCATTAAACAAAACAATCATTTATTATCAGTCACTTCGTAGTAACGGAGTGATTTTAGGACAATGCGCTCTCTTCTTCTAGCGAAGAGTAAGTCTTGTTGTCCAATAACAAATGATTTAATTAATCATAATTCGATCGAGATATATTCAGAATGAGACTCGATCTGGAAATTTCTAATATTTAAAAAAAAAGACATATCCGCTGAGTTTCTTGCCAGTTCTTCTCAAGACGGAGGCTAGTTTTTGTAAATTGGTGGTAGTTCTTTTGACGTTCAACAAGTATGTACTTTCATTTATGTTGAATAATTTTTTTTTGATTTGATTTGATTTGATTTTGGAGTCCTTGAATGACTTCAGCGAACAGAGAGTAGTAAAGAAGTAAAAATTGTTTATTGTTGGTTTGAGCGAATTCGTGGAGTTTTCTGACAAATACTAAAACTTTTTTCGTTAACTCAATGTTAAGAACTTTTATTTCAAAATAAACGAGTCTGAGTACATTTCGTACTTAACGACTTTAAATCAAAAGGAGGAGGCCTTTTGATTTAAAGTCGTTTAAAAGGAAGATTTCAGAAGAGAATCATCACATATTCCACGAAAACGTTTACCGGTACTCTAATACTGCTATTCTGAGCGGGTATTGGTCACAATATGTGGTACCGCAGATTTGCGTTGGATGTGCGAGCGTATCAGCTATGACCCTGAAAGAGTCAACTCTAGTCGGTAATAAATATTTGTTAAAGTAATATGGCACGACGCAAGTACCAGGAACCCCTCGTCTCCGGCGCGTGTTGTCTCAGCCGCTCCGGTCGACTCCGGTGTTATCCACATGACTAATCTCAACGTTCGAATTGCGGCTGGATGTGATCCATCAAAGACCCGACTGATGCAGGTCCGCACTCTTCGGAACTATACCACTAAATTAGTAATCTATACTTATATGTACTTATAATATTATAAAGAGGAAAGATTTCTTTGTTTTTTTGTATTGAATAGGCTCCGTAACTACTGAACCGATTTGAAAAAGGCTTTCACTGCTTGGAAGCTACACTATTCCCGAGTGACATAGGCTATAATCTTTTTTGAACAAAATTAGGGAGTTTTACTCCAATAATGTAACCCAAGGTGTAAAAAAACTACCTAAAATATTCTTTACATCGCGTGCCCTGCTACTATTGATGATAGAATAAAATAATGTACTACGACTTTCTAGAACACATTATTATTTACAAAAAGTGCCGCAACGACATATGTCTAACTATTATAGTTATGCCGCACTTTTTGTTCTTTTATTTAAAAAAATAAGTCTACGTCAAATATCGTTGAAATTTTTATTAAAGACCCGAGCGGAACCGTAGCGTGCCGCTAGCTATCACTAGCAAACCTGCTAATAATTAATCTATCTATGGAACGAGATAATTCATTATTCACCAACTTGAAGACGCCCGCTTAACTTGAAAACATGCTTACGGATAAAGGTCCGATGTTTCTCATACTTGAATGACGAATATTACCATGCTCTAATCGTTTCTCACCGGCAAGTAAAATGAATTTTATTGGAACCAATAATTAGGGATGTATTTAAATAATATTTAGAATCAATTCCTGTCTGCGCCATGTATCTGCGTTATTAACTGCGCAGGCAAACTTACCCCACACCTGGTCTCAAGCTTTCAATAAAAGGCTACGAATCCAGTTCAACCCTGATTACTACGCGCCTTTCATTGTATTAAATGCTGTTCCCTTATTGTGGGAGTCGTTCGTGAATTCGATGTGACGTAATTATTGGGTAGGTAATCGATTACTCAGCTCATTTCAATTAAATTCAATCAGATCATGACGAAGTTAGTTTGCAATTAATCACAAAATTCTACCCGAAGACAATACTTTTCCCCTACTTATTCGCTGGTAGCTCGTGAGCTATTCCAGCGACGCGCAGACGGGACACAATACAAGAAAGGGTGTTCACCAAAACCACAATCAAATTTCCAAACAACAATAGAACTTTAAAACAGTTTTGGAAATGAACTAAACATGAATCTGTAGGTTTCTCTCTTTTTGTTTTTTCCTCTATATCGCCTATCAACCGTTAAACATCAACTAAAAATTGAGAGCACTTATTTTTTTTGCCACCATAACAATAAAAAATATCAGTAACAAAAATGACGAGAAAATGCAATTTGTGAAATTAATCTGATGATTCTTGAAACATGATAATTAGGCGAACAAGTAAAATAAGATATATGAAAAAAACGAGTCGCCCGAACAGGGACTTGAACCCTGGACCCTTGGATTAAAAGTCCAATGCTCTACCGACTGAGCTATCCGGGCTCCGATTCTTGTTGTTAAAATTATCTATTGGATTCCAAGGACTTTGTTTGATACACATTTTCATATTTCGTCTTCTCGCATTAAAACTGTATAATCTCAAAACTTACAAATTTTTTTATAGGAGAGTGTTTTAAAGGTTTAATGTGATATTTTGAATATAAATCATCTTTGCAACATTTCTTTTTATTTTTTACCAGTTACATTAACTGTCTTTTAAAGTAAGATAAAATTATGTATTATATTGTAGTCAAAATATAAGTAA